AAAAACAGGCTTAGTTATAGTAAACAATTATATGAAATGAAAGAATCTTGGCTGATAGGAAAGCTAGTTGCCTGGCCCCTTATTTACGCAAAATCAATCTTCTCGCTGCCTGCAATTAGCTCGTTCATAAAACGAACGACTTGTGCCTCCAGTCGCCAGCTCAAGCTAATCAAGTGGCAGATTTTCAGCCGGGCCTGCCTTCTGCTGGCCAGTAATCACCGCAGGGAGGGCAGTCGTTCCGCGCTGGCTCTGCCTTTCAGTTATTATTAGGTGGGAAGTAGCTGCTGCAGCCAAGGCTACTGCACACACCCCCGGAGCAGGGATTCCTTCTGCACACCCCCAGAGCGAGCTGACTTTGGGGGTGCGCTCTGCACAGTAAGGCAGTGCTTCTGCATCTGAATTACAGAACAATTGGGCATTGTCTGCCTTGAAGCGAACGCCTCGTCTCGCTGCTACCAAGGCGAGCTCTTGAGTGATTTTTGAGTATCTGGCTGACGCAAAAGCTGTTGCTTATGAAATGCTATATTGGGAAAAGGGAGTTTATTGTTAGCGTGGGTTTCCACCATGGGTCCTGAACGCTTAGCTAGATAGGATGTTGTTTTGTTGTGTTTTTTTTTCTAATTAAAAGAGAATGCGCAAATACAGGAGGCCACGATTAAGGTCACAAAGGTAAAACTTAAGGCAGCCAGTGTTTCGAATGCAGCGCTGGCTAGATTGTCATAGAAGCGTTTTTCAGTGATGTTCTTCTCGTGTGTGTTAATGTACTTGTTGAGGAAGTAACTTGACTCTCCGAGACGTATCCCGGGTGTCTCTTGGCCCATAAACCCAAGGAATCGACATTTACAATTATAGTTGCAGCAGAGCTCACTGAAGTATGACACTGCTGCTTGCTCGCTCGCAGCAGAAGGGGAAGCAGCCGGCGATAGCGCTGCCTTTGTGGCGAGCAGGAGGCGTACCGAACACCTTCACGTCATGGGAATACACCAAATGTTTTACATGTAGATACCCTCGACAAAGGCATCGCGCAACGAGGATCATCTCACACATCCTCGTCATTAAAATGACTCACTGGTGCATTCGGCATCTCCTCAGATATTCCATTGCCAGCCAAAGCCCGGTGTCCTTGCAAGCTGTATCCAAGGTTACGGTGTTTTCTACAGGGCATTGTCACAGACCACGTTCCCCTGCTTCTTCCGCGCGCAGGCTGATGGACACGCTGCCTTTCGCTTTGGGCACGTCCAATTTCAGAAATTCAACTCCTTTTTCTGCATGTATCTTCTGCTAGAAACGGGATTTCGTTTGATTTTTTTTTTCTCTTTTAACGTGTGTGTTCTCTGGAGCTGCCTTGGGATTACCTATGGAATGTGATTTTTCAACGTGTATTTGTGTATATTTGGAATTCTAAGAGGCGATGCCCTCGGTTATTTAATGCGTGTATCACTTCACCTGGTTGTACTCAGGGTGCGGGATTTGTTACGTTCTGCACTTGACCATTCCGCTGACTCTTCCTCGCTGGCAGCAGCTTCTCCTTATGTGGGTTTTGTTTTGAGCAGCTCATCCCTTGGAATTTGCAGTGTACGTGACACGATAGTGAAGTCCGACCTAAGATTGAGAAGAAGCTCCTGAAAACCCGAGGAGTGCTCCAAATCCTAGTTAGCTACACATCATATTCGTTAAACTTGAAGCAAAACCTGCCTTTTCAATAAAAGCTGCTGTTGTTAAAACTACTTTTTCTGAAAGGTTGTGGGGTTTTTTTTTTCTTTCTCTGGACCTGTATCCAATTCCAGTTCTCAATATTAAAATATAAATGTCATAATTTTATGAAGTGGTCAGAAAACTTCCTATCGTGACTCTTTATTCTGCCCTCTGGGCACGCATTATTTCTCTTCTAGAAGTGGTTTTGTGACCAGTGGTTGGAGTCGTTTTGGTTTGTGCCACGCTGGAGTCACGGATGATATTTTAACTCCGATGAGAGTAAGTGTTATTAATTGACTTTAATACCTTGTTTACTCCCTTAATTCTTGCAACGATTTGCAAGTCCTTTGTTGAGATTCAAACCTTGGGTTCAATAAACAGCTCGTTTCCTATCTGACCAAGCTGCAAAGTGCCTTGCTCCAGGATGCAGCGGGAAAAAAACCTTGTTTGGGCTGCTTGTTGGTACCCAAAGGTCAAACTGCGGCTCCCTCATCTTCGGTTTCTACCAGTTTGAGGATGCCTGAAGAGCTGGGTTTTGAGGGGGGAAAAAAACAAGTCACGGAAAATCTCTTTTTTTGGAATGAACCACAAGAGGAACTTTTACAAAGAAATCCCTACAGGTATTGATCCCATTGCGCTTCTCTGGAGTAGAATCTCTAACGGGTGAATTCGTTTCCCGATGTGCTTTACTAGGCAATTACATTTTCTATAGGCCTACATTTCCTTTTGGTTTAAAAGTCAGTCTTGATGCTTTCGTGGCTGAATATTAGCATCTTCCCCTCCCCTAGGTACTAGGGCGGCGTGTGTATGAAGTCTATATAATAATTCAAAGCGGAGAATTTTTAACTTCCAGTTTTTATATAGAAAACGCTGTTAAATTATACATCGTCCATTTTTTTTGAAAAGTTTAATTTTGCAAGCGGATTTCAGTTTTTAGTATTTTTTTTCTCTTTGAAATGTCACGCTTTCAGAATGTCTCCGGACTAGTGATTACTCTCGGTTTTTAATCTGTAGCTCCCTTTCTTACTTACCATTTCCCTGGTTGCAATTCAACTTAGGATAAAAATAGAGGGATGAGTAGAATGTATTTTTTTTTTTTTAATGGCCAGTCCGTCTCCTCTGTCTGTTTGTTTGTCACTGAAACCATGAAACCTGAACTGCGCGCCGCCGAGGGCAGAACTCGCCTTTATTTCAAGTGGTTCTTGCTCATCTGCAAAAAAAGGAGGAGACCTCCACGCCCCAACCTCAGTCCCCACCAGCGCCGGGCTGCACTTCAGCCTCGTCATACGGGACACCGCCGAGATCCACGTGTTAATATTGTTGGGAAAAAATGGTGTGAAATTATTTGGGGGGGTTTATGGGCAGTTTTGTCTAAGAGCGTCCTGGATAAAGGATAGAAGTGGGGTTTGCAGAGGGTCGGGGGGGAAATAGGTATGTGCATGGGTGGGAAACTGTTGGGCTCTGGATGCCCCTGCAGGGTTGAGGAAGGCGCAGGAGCTCGTCGCGGCGGCGTCTCCATGCGCAGGTTTGGCATTAAAGCCGTTTGCTGAAGCTGTGGCCAAACCCACGGGGGCCCAGAGCTCTCCCGTGCCACCGAGCCCCCCAGGAATTGGCCTCGGGCCCGATCGCAAGCCTGTGAACTCGCACAGCAGCGCTCGCTGGCCTCGCTGCACCTCTCCCTGGAGCCTGGGAGTGCCGGAGCACCGGTGTCTTCCCCTGGTAAGCAGAAGCAAGTCGCGTTAAAACTCTGCAGTAAATTCAAAAATTCTGGGTCAGAGCTGTTCAAAGCCTCTGTTATCAAATTCGCTCACATCCAGATTTTTATTCCAAGCAGATCGGGTTTTACTCATGATCCCAACGCAGCTTTCTGTCAGCGCTGGCAGTGTTTCAGCCCTGGTGGCTTTTTAGTCTGGGGAAACCAGAAACCTACTTGTGCAGGGGGTTGCAGCTTGGAGAAAAACCGTTAACCATGTCTCCTGTTCCTTAACCCCTCAGCCAGGACTTCAGAAGACAAAAGTTCTGAAATAGCCAATTTAATTGCCTGGCTTTTGTGACGAGGACCAGGAGCCACAGGGCGCCGTGATGGGTTATAAACTGGTTAGCGAGCGACAGGAGCAGGTCCCAGGATTTTCCTGAGGTCCAGCTTTGCTTAAGGCCACTGCTCAGGGTTCCACAGTGTTCTCACCGTTACCTGAGATCCATTAGCACAGTTCTGAATAAGACCCCAACACATGGTTTTGCTTAATCTTTATTGATTTTTTTTAAATTTTTTTTTAACAAGTATAGAATCTCATTTAAATCAGAAAGCTATCTCGGCATCCAGCAATCTGCCTGTTCCTCCTCCGGAGATGCAACAGAGGACACAGATGTCTTGTCGAGGAATGGACTTGCCTTGCTCTCCTGGGGTCCAGTTACGCTTCAACAAAACCAGTCCCTTCCCACCTGCAGGGAGGGGAGCGACGTGCAGGAGGCAGCGGCTGCTCCATGGGAAGGCTTCTCCCATGTCTCGGCTTGGAATCGTTGTCACGCACAGAACAAGGCAAAGCCTTCTCCGTAAAAGCCATCCTCGTCCGGGAGGTCGAACAGATCGCCGTGTTGCACGGAATAATTCTAGAATGCAGCATAACCTTGAGGACGTAATGAAGTGATTCAGAAATGGGCTAAGGCAGATCACGACCATAGTTAAAAGAGCTAATTAATCAAGCGGATTTATCTACTTTCAATTTACCGGTTGATCGAATATTAGAAGACGCAGCCCAGCCCCTCTGGAGGGCGGCCACGCGCACACTTGCCCGAACGTTTCTTTGGCTGCCCAGTGCCGGGAGGGTTAACCTCTCGCTTCTGTCTTGAGTCCCTTTTGGACAAGATCTCTGTTTACTTTCCACCCACAAGAAAACCACCAGCCTTTTTCAGTAGTCTTAGTGTGTTCCAGGACTGTTGCCCTGGCATGGAATGAGTGAAATAGGATCTTGTGTTTATTTGATTTGAATAATTCGAATTTTATTTTACTCGTGGCCGACATGGACTGACTGACTTCACTTTTTTTTTAACTTTTTTTTTTTTAAATACTTTTAATACAGATTAAGAGCTGACTAAAGATCTCAAACACTATATACTGAGAGTCACTACGGATGTTAAAAAAAAAACACCAGCACTAGCACCGCAAACCTGCCCGCCTGCCTTCCTGGCTCTTGGAAGAACCGGCTGGCGGGGTGGGGGGGCCTTTTTTCTCGGTGCTAGTGCCGCTCCCTAGCCACTACAGGATTTTGCAAGGAAGCAAACAAGCTATTAATGAAATATCCAGGCTACGGCATCACAAAGCATACTTTATTCATTAACTCTGCCAACTGCCTCTTAGGCCTTTCCTCGTAGGATACTAATAAACTGGCTGGAAAAAGAAGGAGGAAGGCTTTATGACAGGAACGAACTCATAAGGAGACCTCATTCTGCTAAATCAGAGAGATGCACGTGGGGGAATCCCTGTAGAGAGAAATACTTTGAAGGGAACCGTTGGCCTTGCAGGTTAGTGAGGTGAGAATTAGTTGAGGTTCTGCTGTATGGTAAAGAACCAAAGTTGGCTGTAGAAGGAGAAGGGAATGTCTCCAGACTGGTCGACTCAGAACAGCGTGTCCCTTCTGTTGTGCTTCCCATCTGCAGTCACATTAAATTCCCCAGTAAGGCATCAGGGGTCTCCTCTCTCTCTCATAAACGTCTGGGATGATGCCATACGGTGTCTGTACCATTTTAACCGTTGTCTTCCCAAAGAGCTTCCTCTCGTAGTCTATCAGTTGCCTCCAGAAGCCCACGTTGGGGCGTATAACGGGGCGTCGCGATTTGACCCAGTTGTATGCCTCAAAGAGGGACACCTTGTGGTACTTCATCAGGTAGGCGATGCACAGCGTGGCCGACCTGCTCACGCCGGCAGCACAATGGACTAAGGTGGCCCCGTGCTTCCGCGCCACGCTGTTTATCTTGTCGGCGACGCTGTCGAAGTACAGGGAGATGGGAGCGTTGGGCATGTCAGCCAAAGGCACTTTCACGTATTCAAACTGGGGCCAGTTAAAATTGGGAATCTCAATGGTCGCGTTGATGATGCAGGTGATTCCCCGGGAGAGGAGCAGGTGCCGGTTGGAGGCGACGCTGCCCCGGCTCAGGTACAGCGAGGGGGTGATTTGGGCGATGCCCCCGAGGGCACCTTCGGAAAGCATTCGTGGAGCCATCAGAGTTCTCGGCAAGGAGTTGTTGGAGGTTCTTGGCACTCACACTTCCATTATGGGAAGAGATCCAACGGGATCTTCAGCCAAGGGAAGGATTGTCTGGCCTGGTGGTGTTAGGGCAGCGAGAGCTTCTTCCGCTTAGGCACTGCAAAACACAAGCAACGCCACGTGAGCAGGGCAGCCGTCCGACGGAACCGTCTCTGCGCGAGAGGATGGGAAAACCCAACGCGCCCTGCAGCGGCCTGGACAGCCTGCTGCTCCCAAACCTCCACAGGGTAAGGTGTTTCTGGGTTTGCACGGCGCGTGTTACCATGGGGCCCCCAGGCATTGCCTGGACAGATAATAACAACAAAAAAAACCCAATAATCTTCCAGCCTAATTAGCTCCAATTACTTGTGGAGGGTTTAGGCAGCCTACCTGTGGGCCCAGGCAGCATTTCGCCTGGATTAGCACATGGAAGATGAGCTGCGCCTTTTCCACGCTCAAAAGCAGCAACTTCACAACTGGCCAGAGTCCAAAGGGATGGTGAGAAACAGCTTGCTGGGGCTGGCTGCAGATGCCAGCGATTTAGATTGCCCTGCCCGCTCCCCAGTGCCACCCCTCTCCTTTTTTAGGTGTATGAAAGGCCCCGCCAAAGTACGTAAACAGAGGAAAATCGCTCATTAGAAAAGGCAGTGAGTCATGTCCATCCGGATCCGTCATCGGCTCTCATCTAGGCTGGGGAAGTGGGGAAAGGGTGACCTGGTTATGTCAGAAGCTGAGAGTAAAACCGAAGCAGAGCCTGGGACAAGGGAGGCTTTTCTGGCTGCTCTAATGACTGACTAATGCTCTGGAGAAAAGACCCGCTCTGCAAAGGCTTGAGTTCGCCTGCGTTGGCCGCGCACCCCCAGCTGCCTGCCTGTGCATCTCGGGAAGGAGCTTTTATTTCCCCATCTCTTTTAGGATTTATCCAAAGCCAGTGAAGAAGCCGCAGGCGAGGGGACGAGCCCTGGAGCGTTAGTAACTTGCCAGTCCCTTTCAGCTCTGCGCTCTCTGGCCAGAGATGGGCCATGCGAGAGGCTCCACTCAGCGCGGGCTGGGGAGTCCCTGCTCTGCCCACCAGAGTCACACTTGGAAGGAGACCTGGGGACACTCAGCGCCCAGGGTGGGAGGGTGTCTGTCCCTCCAGCAGTTAACTCTCCACGTCAGGGCAACCTCAAAGGGCTGAGGGACCCCGACTGCGGCTTCCCCAGCCCTGCCCCGGCGGGCTCGCCCACCTCCCT